ACACACACACACACTTTGCACTAACAGCAGTGTAATTAAACACCATTATATACATCACTACCGCCCTGCAGCGTGCACAGGTCTGTGGAAAGCTCAAAGCTTAGTGAGCAGCTGAGGATTAACTCAATGCACACAAACCACCTCGACAGCTGCAGAAAAAGAGGGCAGGGACACACATCAACAACAACAACAACACTTATTATTAAAGACAAACGCTCGCTGTCTGCATGTGTTTTGTCCCTGCACCCCTCCCGTACTGTACCCCGCGTCTTAACCCTCCCGCAGTTTGCTTTCTCGCGTTTTAGCAGCTTTTAAAATAATAAATAAAAAGGAGACAAATCAGAGATGAGGGAGCTAATGCTAACCCAGATGTAAGTTAACTGCTGATACATGAGCCGTTTTGGCAGCTTGCGGTGGCGTGCGGGACGTTGCGGGACGTTGCGGGGCGTCGCCGAGCTCACGCGCCACGCAGCTGGCAGGTTTAATGCGTTTAAAATGCGTTTAAAATGCGTTTAAATGGGCAGATAATCGCACTGAAGTGGCTCCTACCTTCAGCAAATTAGACGTCGCCATGTTCCCTTCAACTTAAGATCTCGTGAAGGATCTCGCGAGAACTCTCGTCTCGCGCTGTGATGAGCGAGCTAAAGTAATAGATTACATGGGAGGTGTGTAATCTGTTACTGTTGTTTAAAAAGATGTGATCAGATTACAGTTAGACTTAGTCAAAGGCAGCTGGTTTATCATTTCAAAATCAGATTATTTCTGTTTTTACAACATTTTAAATAAGTTTGGAGAAATGCTGCAGATGAGTTTATTTACTTAAGTTAAGTTTTAAATTCAATAAACCTAATTTACCCAAATTACTTTAACAATAAATACTTGAGTTACTACTGCTCAAATAATTCTTAATGATCCCTCAAAGTTTAAAGATTTGATGTTTGTTACATCAATAAAATTGAAAATTACCATTTTAAATATTCAGTTAATTATAAATTCATTTTATCGTACGTCAGCTGTTTTTACTGTAATATTTTTATTATTTAGAGGCTTTAGAGAAAGAAAACTGAATACATTTAATAACATTTAATAATAATATATAATTAATATATTTGTATAAAGATACATTTAAGTGACTTTACTAAGATACATTATATTAACACATTTTAAATAAGTTTAGAGAAATGCTGCATATATAATTTATTTATTTAAGTTAGATAGATAGATAGATAGATAGATAGAATACAATAAAATAAAAAATAATAAAATAATAAATAATAAATACATAAATAAATAAATAAATAAAATTAATTAAAAATAAAATAAAATTAAAATAATAAAAGTTCAATTAACTGAGTGAAGTGAGTACAATTAACTTAATCTACCCAAATTACGTTAACAATAAATACTTGAGTTACTTACTAGGAGCAGTTATGGGTTAAGTGCATTGCTCAAGAGCACCTCGGCAGTGCCCAGGAGGTGGAACCGGCAGTTCTCCAGCTACCGACGACCCTCCAGGTTCCCAAAACAAGTCCCTACACAGACGGAGCTACTGGAGGAAAGAGGATAATGTTATTGTGTCTCCTGACGTTCGTTATCTTCCTTCTGTGTCTGCATAAAGTTGGTGAAAGGTTTTTCTCACACGATGCAGGAAGGAGTTTGACCTTCGTACGAGGGTGAAAAGAAAAAAGTTAAACACTGGTGGTTTCATTAAAAATGAATGGAGAGGTAAAAGGCTAAAAGAGGTGGTGGGTCCTTTGCAGGTAGTGGAAGAAGTACTTAGATTATTTATTTATAAGTCCGACTTTGAAGCTTTTACTTGAGTTTTAAAGTATTAGCAGCAAAATATACATAAATAATTAAAAGTATGATCACTCAACATGCAGAATTGTTCCTTTTTAAAGGATTTTAATTCATATTTAATATTATTATCATCTATAGCAGTGCCACATATCTTATAATAATTAATATGTTATTTGAAAAACAATCTGTAATGTAAATACAATAGAAAAGCACAATATTCTCCTCTGAAATCCAGTGAAGTAGAAGTATAAATAAGCATAAAATGAAAGAAAAGTAAAGTAGAAATACCAGAAAACTGTATTTGAATAAATAACTTTCCACCACTGCTCATAAGATAAGAGTTTCTTAATTAATAATACTGTACTGTGCTGTACGCTGTATAATGCATGGTGGGGGGAAGATGTATAAATAATATAAATTCACTTAAATTAAAGTAATAATAATATAAAAAGTCTGTCAGAAATAAAAAACTTGGTCCTTATTTTGATAAACTTTATCAGTATTTTGAGAAACTTTATCATTATTTTGAGAGACTTTATCTTTAATTTCAGAAACTTTATCCTTATAATGACATTAACAATCATTTCTTTGCTCCATAAACATAAACTTCATCTGTTAAACTGCTTTTTAATTCTCATCAGCACCAGATCAAGTTTGTCTGCGCGGCGCAGACGTCACTGCAGCTTCTCTTTGGACCAATCAGAGCGCAGGAGGAGGTCCTTGAACACACGAGGGTTAGACTGACTTACGGAGGGCGAGGAGTTTCCCCGCGTGGGATGATTATTGAATCAATCATAAAGATCAATAACTTCTGGAGGACTTCCCATCACCTGCCATGACTGGAGAAGATACCGTATGTAGAGCTTTATTATGTATAATTCATTAGAGCAGAGCTTCTCCTAGTTTAAGGAAGCTGTCACTCGTGCGTCACCAAACTGCGTTGAAAAAAGTGACAGTTTAACACGTTTGTGTTTAATACTTAGTCGTTCGTGCGTGCTTACACATATTTAAACCAATTTTACGTGTTATTAGAGGCTACTTTAAAATTCGGCTTAGATTTAAAGTCGTAACATTGTCTTGTCATAGTTAAACATTTCCAAAACGTGCTCCCTGGTCGCCGTGAAAGCGCCATCGCCTCTAATGTCAACACACCCTGTAAGTGAGATATCCTGGAAGCACAGGGCTGCAGACAACGCCGAATTCACCTCATGACCCAGCTGGTTCGTTTGAGATCTGGCTTCATTTCACTAGGCATGCCTAAAGTCTAGAAACAAGGAGAAACTGGTTGTCTAATTCATGTTTTAGACTCATATTTTGTAAATAGGAATAACGGCAACTATGAAGCACATTTATTGGGTATATAATGTGCTATAACTTTAGTGAGACTCATATCATGGGTTACATTCCTGTGGAGATTTAGTACCATGTTCTGCTTGGGTAGTCTGATGAAGACAGTAAGCATGAAAGACACTAATTCTTTACTTTCTTCCTTAAACCCCAAAGGTTTTAATCTTCCTGTTCTGTCTTTCTAGGTTTAGCTCTCGGAGACATGGACGGGCCCGAAGAGGAGAGACTGTGTGGGAAATGGAGGGTTGCCTGCGGTGTGTACAGTTACAACCTGAGGGATGTCTTCACATGGTGAGCGCTCGCTGTTTAATTAACCTTTTACACAGTCACAGTAGGAGAAAGCACAGGTGTAAATGATATAATTAAAGATAGCTGAGTGTCATTTAACAGAACCATTCTTAATGTTATTAATAACACCTGTGGTTATCACACTCGTACACGTACAGTATAATGACTGTACTGCAGTTATGTTTATTATTTTGCTCTATTACAATAACTACATTTAAAATCTCTGTGTACTTAATGTCATATTTATCTTTAAGAATTAAAACAACAAAAAAAACAACAATTTTCTGCTATTAACAGTTTTTTAATCCTTAACACTAGAGAAAAAAATAACATTATCTCAATAAATACAGTCTTAAAGAGCCACTTTACTCACCTTGCTGCAGTGATGTCACAGTGTACTACTTAGCAACAGTGCACTGTGACATCACTGTTGTGGCTTGAAGCTTTGTTTGACAGTTTGATCTGAGTTTGGTTTGTTGAGCCGGACGGACTCACTGACAATAAACCTGTCAATCAAAAGGTAGCCCCGCCCTAAAGCATACCCTG